TAAATATGATACATCAAGAAAATATCAATGCGGCACCCACGAATAATAAATTTGATTAGAATACGCATTACGTTCTATTTCATCGAAAATGATCTCTAAATTTACAAAAAAATTTCAGGATCTATCCTTGAAATGAATTGTCGTGTCATTTCATCGAGTTTAAAATATTTACATTTTGAAAAACTGCCGCCCCAGGCCCGGGCCTAAACGGGCCTAGGGGTAATCCAGCAAGTTTATATTAGAAAATTCTTGTTATTTTTTAATAAAAATGTTAAAGATAAAATTTGGTTATAATTCTTCTCCCCTAGAACCTAACTATATATTTCAAATTAAGTGGCACTCTAAATCATATTGGTAGAGTGGCTTGGCACCATACAGTTAAAAGCTTGCCGACCCATGCTCTAGAAGACGAGCATGCTGAAGAGAGTATCACTCACCACACACCATCTACAAAAGTGCCATTGAAACCAATATCGGGTTTGATGAAGTACTTTAACAGCAACTACTGTATCTCTTGGGCAGCATGATGACAAACCAAATGTGCTCATTTAATAGTATAGCTTGTATCGGGCATACCTGCTGAACAAGTAAGAAATATATTTAACCAAGAAATAATAATGAACAATGATTTTTTTATTCGATTGTAGAAAGTATATTAGGATGGTATGTTTATTTTCACTAATCATTAGTATTAAATTATTATATTTATTAGTTAATTAGCTTTCTGTATATATTCTAATATTCTGAATTGTTTCATCGGACTATTTGTTCGTATTTGATGTTTTACTAAAAAAAATTTATTTTTATATAATATATATATATATATATATATATATATATATATATATATATTCAATAGATAAGTCCTGGATTTTTCAATATATTGATTGTTTCTTTTCCAAACAGTAAATCCAATAATAAAAAACAATTTGTTTTTTTAAGATATATTAATAACGACGTTCGAAATAGATACGTTCCATCATCAGGTTTATTCTGTAATAATTTATATAACTTCATAAACAATGAATACCGTTATTTATCTCGCCATTATAAAACTCTAACAAAAAAAATTACAATCTTTCTTTTAATCGTATACGCGTTTCCAATAATCATTGAACATACCTGTATTTATAAAATTTTATCATGCTTCTTTATTCAAATAACGATTTTATTTAATTCATTTGATGTTTGCGTTGACCAACACTTGCTTCACATTTTTAAACATTATAAATATAAATACTTCTTTACATTTTTTAAATCATTGAAATCATACGCCGCTCAGTTCTCTCAAAAAATGAAGTGCCATATTTGGCACTTTTTGCCCCGTACCATCAAAACGGCTGGACCTGTCTGTGCCAAAAACTAATCAGGACGTCTCCTTATCAATTCAAGACGACTGTTTTCTTAATCATTTCAATCATTACCGACATCGTCGACAAATATTTCGGGAAAAATTATTTATTTTGAATTAATTATTATATATTACAACACTGTTTTAGAACTTGTATTGAATAAATTATTTGTCAAATATTGACAGGTCCAGTGATTCCGAGATCCAATAAAAATCAATAAAAAAATCAATAAATCATTTGTATTCCAAAATTTTATACAGATTTCAATAATAAGTACAAACTTTGTTCACATTGTTATGGATAAAGTATCAAAATTTATACAGTTTAACCGTAAAAACTCCGACGCGGCGCACATACTCGCTCCGATATTCCATCTCGCCCACCGCGATCGCTTCGAAAAAAAATTCAAAGTACATTTTTTTCTTCCTGATTTTTTTATTGATCGACAGCTAATGAAATTTTAGGAAAAGTCAAGAAATTTCAAGTCTATAGGATTACTAGAAGTGTTCTTTTTTTTTAATTGAAGCCGAAAAAAGTCTGGCCGGATCACTCCGACCGACGGAGGGTTAATTATATGTTAAAACGATGTACAAATTTATAAAAAACTAAACTGGTGATTCAAATATGTACCAGTAGCAAAATAATTTTAAGAATCTAAGAGCTGTGTTAATAAGAAAGAAAAAATCCTAACCACTGACCCATTGCCGCCCCATTTGTCTTGCAAAATCTATTAAGCAACGCAGTCTACTTTAAACTAATATTTGAAAGTGTAAATGGATGGATGATTTCAAATGATTCATAAAATTCTAGTGATATAAATCAAAATGTACTCGGAAGCCGCAGTAATGCGTCCACGCAATTAATTCATTTTGTATAATGAAAAGCCAAAATGATCAAAACTGAAAATAAAACTACAAGATCTCGTATTACGGAAATTCGGTATCGGTACCCACAAAATCAACTCGAAAACCTTGAAATTAATACAAAAATATGTATCACTGACCTTTTCTCCTGTAAACGGTGCTGCATCAGTTCCAATTTCTCATGTAAATTAGACTTGATAAGGGCACAATTACAAACACTTGAAATAATAGGTATAAAATTATCGCACTATTAAACTGAATTCAATTCGTAACCATGTTGAACTCACGCAACAAGCCGGTCTCGGCTACGTCCATTTCGCCGAGACCCTTCTAGCCGTACACCGTACACCGCCGCAGTCGAAAACGAAATGATATCCTCTCGCAATGGCAGGCAGGCCGATTCGAGTGGTGGGGAGAGCAACTAGGTGATAGGTGATGGGCGGTGATGGGCGTGGCCTACGCCTGCGACATATCTTTGTCCTTGTCTTGCGCATTAACTCCTATGCGTGGAACAGAGTGCGAAATAGTACTCGAGCGCACTCGCACATGACATAGTTGTCCTTCTCTGTACGCAGAATTGCATAATGGCCGATCGGCTTCCGAAAGAACCAGCGCCATTATCATGTTGTTTGAGCTTCTGTCTGTCGGCAAACTGCAACGTAAAATCATATTATAATTATTTTTATATTTCAATCGACATATAAAGGAACTTTTTCTGTAGAATTTATAATAAAAGTTTATGTAAATAATAACACAACCGTTCATGCAGAAGGATAAAAACAGACTAACTGATTCTTTATGATACTGATATATTCTTTAACTAATCACTTTGAATCGTTTACGAATTTTTAATTATTTTGGACATAATATAAAAAGACGGAATGTGCAGGACATTCTCTGATGCCATTCTTGCTTTAAAACTCCGTTTTGTTGAAATCCAAAATGTACATATTTCGCATAAAAAGAAGTTTGCAAACTACAATTATTTTATTATTGGTTTTCCATTGTAATTGTTCACACCAAAATCACAGCATCCGATATATTGATATAGAAACAAATCAAATATCTAAATAAAAAATTATTATAAAATAAAATCAATCAATACAAAAATTAAACTTTGAAAACATTGTAAATACAAATATAATTTGTAGTTGTAATAAAAACTAGTTGGTATTGGTATTTTGCCTTGAGGCAAGTTACATGAACTTTCTGATATGTGTAAATAATCGACTATATAAATTAATTTATGAGCGATTAAACGTATTCCGAGTAGATTTATTACACATAATTGAAAACGAACAAACACGTTAACTCGAGTATTTTCTAAAAGCAAATTTTCAAAAATTAATAACTTTTATAATTGAACCAGTTTCGGTAGGACTTAATGGTTTAGATGTACATTGAGATCAAGTACTCTAGCGTTATACCAAGTAAATCGTCTAATTTTAATTTTAACGAACGTCAAAAAAACTACTCATTTTCTCAAACTTTGATGAATTTTTAAAATTCAACTACTAGTAAGGCCATAATAATTCAGTAAGATCCATAAGACCATAGTATATATCGCCCTAAAAAGTTCCATAAAAATCGGCTTAATATTTTTTTCAACGGTTAATTACAAGGAAACGGCTCGGTAGATTTTCACCAAAAACTAATCAGTATCATTCCCAACTAATATCTTTCGAACAGTTTTTTTTTTAATCGATTCGGTAGAATGAGCTTAAATGTGGACGAAAAGTTTAACATTTTTTTTCAAATTACAAAGAAACGGCTTGGAAGATCGTCTCACAAAACTGACCAACTATAGTGCTCATTGAGATACATCGAATGACTTAAATTTCTAAAATCAGTTCAGGCGTTTTTGATCAAACGTCGATTAAAGGTCTTGCAAACTTTGACGAATTTTTAAAGTTAAACCGATAGTCGTAGGGCCGTAATATCTTAGTATGATCTAGAAGATGATGGTATGTACCGCCAAAAAAAAATTATAAAAATCGTCGTATTTTTTTTTTTTTTAACTTTATTACAAGAAAACGGCCCGGCCGATCTATACCAAAAACTAATCAGCACGATTCCCAACCAATACCTACAAACGATTTTTGAATTTTCGAAATCGATTCAGAATTGCGGGCTAAACGTGGACGAAAAAGTTTTCACTTTTCTGCGATTTACAAAGAAGCGGCCTGGACGATCGTCGCACAAAACTCAAAAACCCTAGTCGTCATCGAGATACATCGAATGGCTTTTAAATTTTGGAAATCGGTCCAGCCGTTTTTGAAAAAACATTGATTTACGGCAAAAAATTTGTTCACACACACGCGCGCACACACACACACATACTTTTTCCAAATTTGGTCTCATTCGATTCAGAATGGCTTGAAACGTCGAGAAAACATAAAATTAGCAAATCGGATCTTTTGATGAAAACATAAACTTCTCCTTCGGGAAGTTAATAAACACGTAATTAATATTACAAATAAAGTGTTTTACAACAAATCATTGGTCCTTCGAAAAATCAATCAAACCTAACAAACAGTAATATTCTACTACTATCGACGCCACATCTATAGTTCTATAATCTAAAGCCACCAATCTTTCAAATGCTATAAACATTTAAAAAAAAAATTGTTAAGAATTAGAAAGATATTGGCATAAATTTGGAAATTTCAAATTAGACGCAAATAGTGTAGTTAGTAGAAAAATGATTTATCAATCATGAATTTTTTAAAACTCGTCAGAGGAAGGTAATACGCTACTTTGACAAGATTTGCAAATTCATATTCAGGATATTGAAAGTTTGTTCAAAGTGAATATATTCGATCGAGTAATCGACATTATTATTGAACAAATTAAAACGCGTTTCTTCCGATGAATTAATATGTTTCAAATTTCAGTATGTTGCTACAATAAAAGATTTCAATGATACTGATCTATTAAATAAAAGTTCTAAAATTTGTTTAGATAAAAAAGACATTAGAAATTCAGAATAAACAAATTTTAAAATCATTATTTAATAGATCAGTACTATAAAAAAAAACTTTTGTTCAGATTCTGAACCATTTGCCAGGGAAGTTTAGTTTGCGATCAACTTTCAGAGGCGGAATACGAAATACCTACTTCGGTAAGAAAAGATTTCATTTACTAAATAGCTTATTGAAGTTAACATTTTATTTTTATTTCAAAACAAAATATATACAGGATTCATGCTATTGTTTCCTAATAAGCTAGACGACAAATGGTTTCATCTTCGTTATAAAAATCGTCTAAAACGGATTGGAAAATAATAATCTAGAAATCAATGATCAAATATAAGATGAGAAAATATATGTTAAATAACAAAATATTTATTGTTAAATCATTTTAATTGTCCGAGGTTTTTCTCGGACTACGGTAATAAATTGCAAGTAATTAAAAACTATGTTGGAACTGATTAAAAATGCAGAATCATTGAAATCCATTAAATAACATTAAAATTATGAACATTGCAAAATCTTAATTGAAATCAAAAATTATTTAAATTATTTCAGGTAGATAATAATATACATTCGAGGAATTGATTATTTTTATGGCTATAATTTGTAATTAACTATTTTATTCGCTGATAAAATAATTGACGAATAAATTGTCAAGTATGATATAAAGAAATTGTTAAATTATGAAATTTTCATTATTAAGTCATATTGTTTAGGTCGGAATATAAAAATTAATTTGATAAAATATTTTTAAAATTAAATTACCTGCACGTTTTTTAATAGCAAAAGTAAATCGACTGTCAAATAATTGAAAATAGTAGCCATTTTATAAAGTAAATTTCATAAAAACTGATTTTATTTTCAAATTTATCAATCGAATCACATCACTGACAATGATATGTATTTTAGCATGATCAGATGTTTCGTAAAATTGTTCAATAAATTAATTTTTATAACAATACTAAAAAGTCAACTACTTTCATATAAAAATTGATAAATAAGATAATTTTTAAGGCAAAATTAAATTTGTTCGTCATGAATCATCATCGTCGAAACATGAAACATTTTAATTAAAGATTTGATTGCTCGCAAATGATAAGTTCCATCAATTAATCATATTTACATTCATATATTTAATTCAATAATTACTACAAATATACACAAATAATTTACGTGCATTTAATAAAGATTAAAGATTGCATAAAGTGTGATGTATTGTAAACGGACTGTAAATGTTGAATTGAATATAAATGTATGAAACCGGTTCTTTTGTTTGATTTGCTTTATAAATTCGGACAGATTATTATCTACAGATGTGGAATTATGTAACATTCCAATTATTCTGCATTTAAAGTGAAGTTTTGTACAACAAATTGTTGCGAATGCATTTATAGATCTTTAACAGACAAAAGTAAACTAGAGGTGTATGGCATCGTGCCTTAAAGCAAATTGCTGAAACTTCCCGTACCGTAATGAAATATTCGAGAAATTTTAAACGTTTTCAAATATATTATTACAAATACTGTAACTTTCATTATTTTTGCTATCTTGTCATATCTGAGCAATCAAAATCAAATGTGAACCATAAATCAATTTATCTCCAGAACATTAACAATCGTTCGTCATTTCATTTCGAATTCAATTTCAAAAAAAAAAATAGTTGCCTAATTTACACAAAATTGAAAAAGTGCTCCCGTATAGTCACACACAGTCTAATGTAAATAATTCTGTGCGACCTTTTCACTTATACTGTGCTTAGCTTGACGGCATTTTCACATTTTTCAATAGTTTTCACAAAATTCGAATTGTAAAAGTGCTCCAGTACATAAACAGTCTAAACGCACTTGGGTAAACATTTGCACCAGAGTGGCGCTTAGAATGTGCTTAGCCTGGGTAATTTTTTGAATTTTTAATCCAAAATTACAAAAATATTTTTTGAAAAAAAATATTAGAAACAATTTTTTTTTTGAAAAAGCAATTATTTTGTTGAAACAAGCAGAAAGTTCTTTGAATCATTCAAATCGGACACTTAGTTCGCTCAAAAACTGTCATTTTTTTTAACATTTAGCTTTGTATCTCCGAAACCGCTAGGCCTACCTTTGCCAAAAACTAATAACCACTTTTCCTCGTCATTACGAACTGAATGTTTTTTGGATCATACAAATTAGATGATCCGTTCTCTCAAAAACTCGATTTCTATTTTCTGCACTCTTTGCTTAATATCTCCGTAACGGATTGACCTGCCTTCGCCAAAAACTAATCAGCACATCTCCCTATCAATAGAAATCGAATGTTTTTTAAACCATTCAAATCGGTTGATCCGTGCGCCCGAAAACGTGGACAAAAAAATGCGGACATACGAAACACACACACACCCACACACACATCCATTAGTTTTCTGAGGTATGCCTTAAAATGTTCAGAAACCTCCAAAACGTCGAAAAATGCAAAAATTTTCATTTCCGATGTTCGGCCCATTATTATAACTACCCTACGGGAAGTTAATTAAATGATCAAAGTAGTAATCAAAGTCATTCAATCTAATTTTAAACGTATGTTATGAAAAACATGCATGCAAATGCGTTCTAATATAAAATTTGAAAACAATTTAATCGAAGCAAATACTAATATTGGGTCTATTGTTTAATTAATAACTACTCAGTAATATTATTGTGAAATAAACAAATACTGAATGAATAGAGAAGGCGCACAGATATTTAAAACATTTAACTAATTCATAAAAAGAAACCAATTTGCAAGAAAGTATCAAAATAAAAGGCTAAATCGCGAATTCCTTAACAAATTCATAAAAGAAAACTAATTTGTATGAAACTAACTTAATAGAAGCGTGAAAACTTTTAGAGAAATTAGGAATCATTTACATGTAATGGAAATATGCCAATGTTATCAGCTATAAATAACATTATAAGACAATAGCGTAAACATGATTAAATTGAAATAAATACGTGTTATTGGCTTCACTGCTTGAAATCAATTCATATTATTAATTTGGTGTGATTGTATTATATATGAGCATGCCATTTAAATAAATATCACTTACCACAGCGCCTTACAATCATTCTTGATTAGCTGGAAGTCAGCATCCATACTCCGATAATAAAAACTCCTTGGAATGTATCACAAAAATCACTTCACACACAAAACTTTAACATCGTAATAATACTATTTTCTAATAAACACTACAGCAATTGAAATTTGAACAAATATCAGTTTGCAAGACTCCAAAGAGATTTAAAGTATTAACATGACGCCAATTGGACAAACATCTGAAAGAAATAATTATTATTATAAATCAATATAATAAATCAAATTAATTTTTATTCACAAATACTCAATCCAAATGCATATAAATTGCCAGTAGCCTGATGTGCTGAAGAGACACAGGTTGTTCAGTGAATAAATGTACTAAATATTATATAATGTAAAACAATAATCAAATCAATCCCAATTTCTTTAAATAATACATATTTACAAAATTTGTGAAATAAGTGTAATATTTTTAAGATCTATATGATTTTATTAACTACAACCAAATGAAACCATACAACAAAATAATAGTATAATTACCTTAACTTCAAATTTCTGATACGCTTCTCAGGATTCCAATAGTCTTCTAAATACAAATGAGTAACAATTCAATGTACTTGGCTTCAGGTAAAATCTGCAAAATAGTATAATACTAATAATAGATATATAACTATCAAATTCATTCATATCGAGAGACTGTGGAAAGAAAAGTTTGTATGTATTGTGACTAGCTAAAAGAATATTGTTGCCAGAATTGAGAGTTGGCTAGTTGATGGTGACGAAGAACTATTTCATCATGAATTAAAGTGTTGTGGGGCTCTTTACATCTATAGCAAGCACCTTTAAAACTACACTCTTAGCATCATGTCCAGGAAGTAAACAACGAGTGCACAGTGAATGCTTTAACACCAGATCCTTGCGCCCTGAAATCTCCAACTCCTTAAACTTGGAACATTTGTACAATGGATGACTTCCCTTACAACAACAACACGGAGATACTACCCTTTTCACTGTACTAACATGAACCATTTTAGAATTTCCCTGAATGGGTCTACTTCCTAATTTGAATGAGTTCTCTAAGGCACAAACCCGCAGCTCCAGAAAGGAAAAAAATTGATTTACCGTTAGAAGAACTTTCCATTCCTGGACAAATTCCATGCCATGCCATGCGTGTATGGCTGTCAAGCTTCTTGTTCAGCATATACAACAGAATAAGATCCTAATGTTTAGTTGGTTCATATACAGTTGAAAGAGCACGTATTTGTTGCCTCGCACTTTGTGCCTGTTCCTTTGTGTATCTGTGATATGTTGTCGATCTGCTGCAAATGGGAATTCAGTATTTAAAATTTAATGTCATAAGTCTTACACAGTAGCTCATAGGCCGTCCTCAGTGTAAATCTCATTTGTTACGCTTAAAGATGATATTAGTTTTGCAGCAGACGATAGTAGAGCTCCCTTTAGAGAATGCAACTTTTGGACTTGCAGCAACTTTGTGTTATTGTGAATTAACGAGTTATAAAGATCTAATAAATTGGGTCCACTCACTATAATCACCGTTGAACTTGGGTAACGTGATCTCTGGTAACTTTACATCTAATGCTGGATTTGAATCTACCGACCTAGACAGTGATAGGGTACCAATATTCGTAAGAGCATTTAAACGTGACATATGCTAAATAACATGTACATTAATTAACTTATTCTATTCGTACCTTACCTTACAAGTTACAATTGTCGTAAATACCGCTTTCACGCCACTCCGGTGCTCCAAACCCTTGTATGACAGTGTCTTGTGTTGTTATTGTATAAGGTGCGACATAGCCTTCTGTGCCAGGTGTGCTCCAATTCTCAGATGAGCCCCAGTAACACGAATAACAGCGATGACAAACTCTGGAGCCTCGTGCGCCTAACTTCTTCTCAAATGAAATCTGCGTGCATTCACTCAATTCACCAATAATAAGTATTGCTGCTCTATTGTTGAGCTTGAGCGTATTCAATTCTTGTTTTTAGCGTGAATAGTTTTAAGGTTCAACCATTTTTGAAACTTTTTATCAACTTTCTTCACGGCGAAAAAATCGGCGTCCTTTTATATATATTAGCACTGATTTTATTAATATTATCCGTGATGAAGAACCAAACTTTATGGTATAAAAAGAAACACGCGAAGAAATTATATACAGAATCTGTTGAACACAGAAATAATAATTTTACATTTACGAATACTTGTTGTAGGTTAGACGGCGGCTTAGACATTAGACAAAAGTGACAGAAGTGACAGAACAGATTGTACAAGGCATGCAACATGCATGCATGTGCATTTGCAGAAAGCAACACTGCTGAAATTTTGACAGGTTATGGTCAACACCGGAGCAAACTTCAGTGTGTATGGGTGTTCTGGCAATCGTAATTTTTTGTTATTTAATGACTCCTTTAAAACGTAACTAGTTTCTTTACAAAATCAGCAACATTATACAAAACCAAATATGCACTAATAGAAAACCGAATATCAAACATACAATTTCCTGAAAAATACAAAGATACATTCTTGGAACGCTGGGCGACTTATTGGAAATTCTTTTTAAAGGACTATAGAGAATAATTAATGAACATATTCACTATTTCAATGGCAAATTGAAATGTTTCAACATAACCTCGAAAACCATTCACTCACAATGCCGAATATTATGCTGAAAACCTTTTCAAATTAATAAAAAACAAAAGATCATTACTTTATATTCACATTTATTTATTTATATTCGTCACTAATTCAGTTATTCACCAAATAGATGCAAAAAGTGTGAAGCACTGGAATACGAACGGACCCTAGTATTCTAATGAGGATTCTAATGACTAATTTGGCGCAAAAACACAACATTCACTATATTAATCGTTTTGGTATTGTTTAAGGGCTTTCCTAATCACTTTTGCATACTTTTCAATGCAATAATTAATGAACATATGCACTATTTCAATGGCAAATTGAAATGTTTCAACATAACCTCGAAAACCATTCACTCACAATGCCGAATATTATGCTGAAAACCTTTTCAAATTAATAAAAAACAAAAGATCATTACTTTACTATGACGCCTGATATGAGGAGGAAGACATTATGCTTGTGCTCCTAATATCGCTTTAGCTGTTGGGTATGATCTAGATACATCAGTACTGTATGATTTATCAATATGACAATATGACTTTTAATTTCCTGTTCTGATAATCCACTCATTTATTTTTATCATTTTTATAATTTTTATCATTTTCATTTTCTTCATATTATCATATTTCTGTACATTATTATATATATAGTATATATATTTTTTTTGCAATTAATTTATTATGTAAGAAAAATCTATTTTCTTTTCCTAAACATATTGTTTGCTAAAATCTCATCAAGATCATGTTTCTTGACAGATGTCCTGAAGATGGAACGTACCTAGTTCCGAAACGTCGACAGTAAACAAATAATTAAATAAAGAAATTGTTTATTAAAACTTCTTGTTTTTTTATTTTTTTATTATTTTGGGATTCTTGTTCGAAACTACTCTACATAATATATATATATATATATATATATATATATATATATATAGGAGATTGCTATTTGAGAAGAAAAATGATATTTTCATAGTGTGAACCAAAAGTTCATTTGCCTTTAAATCGGTTCATTTGTTTTTAAAGAATAGAATTCCTATTTCTGTTGCTTCCTACCACATAAATAAAATTCTATTTAATTTATCTAGCCTTTGGTGAGCAAATACACAAGTAAGAAGAAAGCATAACTAGCTGTAAGTGTAATTTTGTCTTTTAGGGCAATTAAGGCATCGTGCCTTAAGGCAAATTGCTGGAACTTCCCGTACCAAATAATAATTGGCTTTGGTGCAGATGGATTGGCATAACTGAACACTTCAAGGCGAGAACTGTTGGAAGAAATCCAGACAAATTAGAGAATGCATGATGACAAATCCTAGGATTACTAGTAAATGGCAACCACCTAATCAAAGACTTGGAATCAAATATAGGTAAGTTACAAATAAATTGCTTGATAATATTTAAAAAATTTATCAGTGATAAATTTATATTACAAATTTAATTTACTCGAGTATTGTAATCAAGTAATATAAATGATTTAGACATTTTATCAGTTATTTTTTATATAATTTGAATAATTATGTAATAAATAATTTTTTTTACAGAGGATGAGGGCAATGCAAAACAAAGAATATTGGAAAAACATATTATTAGCTGAGGTATTGTTGCTGCTGCTGCTGCTGCAGCAATTCTTGGTCGACTATCAAAATAAATGGAAGGCTCTCGTGCTTGTAGGTAGATACACAGATAAATTCAATATTTTATTCAAAATAAAATGAAATTTTCATCGTTTTATTCTTATTATTATGAGTTATTAAACACAATTTTCTTTTTCAATGAAGGCTTTGAAGTAAACAATGGAATTCAGTAAAGATTAAAAGATGAAAAGGGCTCAGACAAAAAGTTGCAACATCATCGCGCTCTGCAAAGGGCTTAATCAGGTTAGTAATCATAAAATAGTTTACAATTATATACTTGATTATAAAATTTTGCAACAAATTATAGGGAAAAACATTACAAGTAATTTTTCATATTTATTGCAATATTTTACATACCATAATTGTTATTACAATTAATTCATAAAATTTTTATTTCTACATTCATTTTAAACATAAATTTTATTTAAAACTTCAATTTTTATTTAATTACTGAAATGTTGATTTCCAACAAAAAAATTTGAAAATGTTGAATGAGAATAAATAATTCATTTATTGAAATTGACATTTACTGAAATGTTGATTTCTAACAAAATAATTTGAAAATGTTGAATGACATTTGAATGTTGATTTCTAACAAAATAATTTGAAATGTTGAATGAGAATAATAATTCATTTATTGAAATTGACATTTACTGAAATGTTGATTTCTAACAAATAATTTGAAATGTTGAAAGAAATAATAATAATTCATTTTTGAAATTGACATTTACTGAAATGTTGAATGAAATAAATGACAAATGAATTCGAAGGTGTCATTGTCTAGGCATAGTTTTGGAGGCCACATATCTCTGCTAATGAAATAAATAATTCATTTATTTTCAGTGAGGACAAATAATGAAATAAATAATTCATTTATTTCAGTGAGGACAAATGAATTTGAAGGTGTCATTGTCTAGGGCAGAGTTTTGGAGGCCACATTATCTCTGCTGCGAAGCTGCTGCTGCTGCAATTCTTGGTTGACTCTCAAAATAAATGGAAAGCTCTTCAGCAATTAAATGGGATGTTTCATTCTGAATAAAATAAAGTTTATATCGTTTTTATCATTATTATGATGAAGTTATTAAATACAATTTTCTTTTACAGTGAAGGTTTGAAATAGACATGGAATTCGGTAAAGATAGAAATGTACCAATTGATGGTGATGCTAAGAGAACGTAGGTGACATATAATACTATTGAAATGTTATAATTTATAGTATCTCAAAAATCTAATTTTTTCAGAGTAAATGATTTTCAAAATGTTAATCTTTTTTAAAAAAAAAATGGTACGGAAAGTTCCAGCAATTTGCCTTGAGGTTTTCCCACTGATATTATAGTTGTTTTGTAACATCAACGTTCTTATTACGTATTAACGTTCACTTATCATTATAACATACCTAGACGTCTCTGTAGGGGGCGCTAACAGCACAAAAGTAAAAAAGAATATTATAAATCATATATATAATAAACAATTAACATTGACACTGAAATATATGAAGATAATATTTTAGTCAAAATTATCGAAACATATATGATATATATATATACAATTTTGTAATACATTAGTTAACAATACTACAAATCCCATTTTAAAAAAAAATATTTCAATTTCTTTAGATGCCGACTTTGTCACTGTCGGTCCTGAATCATAATTTTATGCTGACTTAAATCAAAATTGTGAATCTATCATCATTCTTATTATTAGTGATAACACAGATTAGCAAGCCAGTTAATGATTACGCAATACATTAACTAACGCGTCGTATAATAAAAAATCGGCCAGGCCAGGCCAGGCCACGTGATAGTAAGTAAAAGAAGTTTGGGAATCACTGCTCTAGACCAACAAGGAAATTATAATTATCTTTATCTTCACACTTACTTTACACACGTTATGTAACATGATCGTATTTGTTAGATAATAACTTTCAAATTAATATTAAAACATACCAAGATGGCCAGCACTTAATATTCTGCCACGTGTTGGGGGCGATCGCGGCTCCGAGGGTTCACTGGCCGGAGCTTCAGAACAAGAATATAATTGTTATTATCTTTATCTTTACACTAACATTAACGTATTTATTGCACAATAAGTCAATTAATATTAAAATATACTTATTATAATCCTAATGGGAGCGCGGCTTGGGGATCTCTGTGGTGTTCTTGTCATTGGCGTGGCGGGGCGTTCACCAGTTGTACGTGTACCTTCAGAACCAACAATGGAATTATTATTATCTTCATTTCATTTGGCATAATTCAGAAAAAATCAGAATACAGATGTGTATGCATGTGTGTTTTGTGTGTGCATGTGTGTCCGCATTTTTTCGGGCGCACGGATCACCGATTTGAATGGTTCAAAAAACATTCGATTCCTATCAATAGGGAGATGTGCTGATTAGTTCTTGGAAAAGGCACGTCCAGCCATTTCGAAGATACGGAGCTAAATGTGTACAAAATGGCAGTTTTGAAAGAACTAAGCGTCCGATTTAAATGATTCAAAGAACTTTCTGCTTGTCTAACAAAAATAATTGATTTTGGAAAAAAAAAATTGTTTCAAATTTTTCCCTATATGGAAAATAATTCAAATTTTATTTTAATTCTGACTAAAGTTCTATATTACTTTAAACAAATAATTTCATCTTTGCAATTCAGTTTATATAATTCTATAAATATTAGACAATGTTTCAATATTTATAATAATCTATTTGAAAACATTCAATATTCCTCGAACATTTCGTACGGTACGGGAAATTCTAGCAATTTGCCTTAAAGCACGATGCCATACACCCTATTAGTTTATTTATTTATTTAATCATAAGCAAGCCGTAATTAATAATAATAGATATTATTTCAGACTCTTGTCAAGCTAATTGTCAAAATAATTAATATTAAAAGGATAATAATTTTTTAATAATCATAATAGCTGCACGAATTTCGCTTCTGAAAAAAAGAACTGATTCATAATTAAGGTCATCATATTAAAGTCTATTTGACCAGGAGTCAAGCTCAAAATTCTTGCACAAGGTTGAAAGTTATACTCATTCAAAACCGTAAAAATTGAATTAATAAAATAGCAATAAAAAAACATGGTTGTACAGGCGATCAAATGGTCAGACTATATAGATAAATGATAAGGATTATGCAAGAAAATAGTTATTGTAATCAAATTGAGAAAATTCAGTAGTGTCATAAAAAGCTAATTCTTTAAAAAGTCTAACTAAGAGAGCATGAAGTTTTTTGCTGTCTAAGTTTCGGAGATTGAAGTAGAAGTAGAAGTTTATTCATAAGCTGAATACCTAAACCGTCGATTGCATTGAAAGTTTGTGTCTAGTGTGTGTTGTAGTTTGAGGAAGACGAAGCCATATCAAAAAGTTTCCAATTGTTTGATGAAAGATAATGTTCCAGCAGATAAATGCATGGGACAGTTAGAATATGTGTTTTTTAAATATGGACAAGGAAAAAATGATTCGAATAGCTCTTTTCTGAAGCTAAATATTTAATTAGTTCGGAGATGAAAAACCCCAGAATTGGATTCCGTATGAAAAGTGAGAATAAAAGTTGCCCTAATATACTGAAAGAAAGCGATTTAAACCAAGTAAGTTTGGGTTTTCGGGTGCGCAACATGAAACATGTCTAGATAAAGTTGGTGATAGTGAGATAGAGATGTGATCAGGATCAGACCAGATAATTGTTTAATTTTTGTTGCCTGCTGTGATATTTGCTTTTCAAAAATAATAATATAATAATTAGAGGTGCATGGCATCGTGCCTTTAAGCGAATTGGCGAAACTTCCCATTCCGTAATTAAATCGAATCGAGAAATAATAAATGATTTCGAATAGCTTATTATAAATACTGTAACATTCGTTATTCGTGTTATAAATATAAGAATAAATTCGACGACGACGTTTATATATGTTTATGTAAAAAGTAAATAGAAGTAAAAAAGATTATATCTCATATCTCTAAGAATTATATAATCTAATTTGCAAAGTTAAATTTATTTGTTTGAAGTATATAAGAGAGTTTTAGAATTTTAGCTAGCATTAAAATTAAAATTCGAATCATTTTTCATATTTAAACAGTGAAAAAATGGTAAATTAAAAAAAAAAATGGACAAAAAATTTTTTGCTTTCCTAAACTAATCGATTCTTCATACTGCAAAATGTTTTTTGAATCATTCGAATCGGAAGCTTTCGCCGCATCATCAATACATGTTGAATGTTTTTGAATAATTCAAATCGGATGCTCTTTTCGTTTCTCAATAGTAAACGATTGCTTTTTAAATATTTCAAATCAAATCGATCCGTGCTCCTAAATATGTGACAGAAATTGTATCCACCACACCAACACAATACCACACACACCGATTTTTCGACTTTAAAACTCAAAATCGTCAAAATCGAGTTACGAGGTTGCGTAAGAAGCACAAAGTTTCGTAACATTTTTGATGTGTCAATGAATATTAAAACATACCATACTCCGATTGTTTCCCCTCGCGGTCGCTCCAAAATGCAACCTCTGTATGGATGTTGTAGGAAAAGGAAAGGTTCCACCAGGCATCTTGCGAATAAGAAAAAACTTACGAAATGTATCATTACCCACATTACTGAGATGTAATACAAAACTAATTACATATGACGTTAACATATCTGGTAGGTCTTGGCCTTTGGCTTGGTTCCTTGGCCCTTTGCTCCGTATTTAGGGGCGGTCGCTCCATAGAATGCCCGGACCTCTGTATGGATGTTGTAGGAGAAGGAAAGGTTTCACCAGCTGCATCATCTTCGGGAATAAGAAAAAACTTACTATTCTCTATCATTCCACCCACATATATTGCAGATGATAATACAAAACATTAATTTACATATTGACGTTAACATATACCTGTAGGTCTTGGCCTTTGGCTTGGTTCCTTGGCCCTTTGCTCCGTATTTAGGGGCAGAGGGGGTTTGGAACCGATAAGAGACCTTCTATAATCCCTATATGGAGCCCATATGGCTCCTGAGGGTATTCTCGAAGGTACTCCACTCCTTGATTGTAAGTACTTGAATCTGAAACCAGAATGGACGATGATGATAATATAATAGAAGAATTCAATTTTTATCTTTTCACAACTCGCTTAATGAAAAATATCACTTGGGCCTAGTTAGTGATGCTCACCGTGCATATCCAAGCCTAATTATAAGTAAAAATGTATGAGAAAGCGTTGTGTTAGGTAAGGACGACATGGCAAATACACGTGATTATTTAAAATTTGAACTATTATTTGTCGAAAATAACTGGTATGGATTTATTGCCACCATTTTGAAAGTTGCTGCATCTCAATATTCATTGACCAAGTCAATTATTTGCACACTTTTAGCAATTTTTCTTAAGGGGCACACCTAGTGTGAAATTTTAAAAAAAATCGAATTTTCAATTTTTCATAATTTAGATAGGCTATGCCTTTAAAAATACCATACAAAATTTTTAAATCGATATCTTGAATAGTTTTTGAGTCATAGCCATTTAAAGAGTATATATACGTATATAGTACAAAGATCGTTTTATCTTTAAATGCTTTTTCTCGAAACAGCATTTTCCGAATTTGCTGCAGTTATTACTCAAAAACAAATGATCCGATCACTATCGAATTTTTTTTACATGTTCTATATATAGCTCTCCGTAAAATGATCGGATCAAAAATCGAATTTTGGCAGTCCAAAAACGACCAAAATTTTGGGTAAAATTCGACTTTTTTTTAAAACGCCGCCGTTTTGTCAATTTTTGATTATTTTTTTATGGTAGGTCATTTTACAGACAATATTATCTAGTTTAACGAGAATTTTTTTTTAAATTTCATTCATGTAGAAGGCTGGAATCACTGCAGCAGTGAAAGGCCTTTTTTCGCGCCGTTGGAGATCGACGATAACTTAAAAAATATTTAATTTTTTTCTTCAAAACGTATACTATGAATTCTTAAAACATGTGTAAAATATGTTCTTAAAATTTTGAAATGATGAAGCATTTTGTTTAATATAATTTCCCAAAAAATCACCTTTTTTAGGCGGTTTTGCCCCTTAAGGGGGTATTCTACTGTAGAAGCATGAATTTTGCCCGGTTTTTGAAGCGCTGTATAAAGGAATCAATATTTTTACTATCAATTTTTTTATCATTTGTTTATTGATATTTTATTATTACATAAAAAAAATAATTAAAGAAAAAAAAATTAGAATTCACAAAGTTATGAGCAGTCGAAGTGGGGGCTCAAAAAAAAAGAGGGTGTCCTGGCGTGCATGATTCCAACCCTCCTGGTGATCCGAAACATAAAAAATAGATGGATTATTAATTATTATAGATGCCGCTATCGTATGAACCTTGGATAAGTTAAAAAAGAAATTTTTGTTTGAATGGCGGCAGTTTGAAAAAAAAAAAAATTCATGTTTTTTTTAACAATTCCGAATTTTTTAAAAATACTAAATGAAAAGTTATAGTTTTGGGAAAGGTCTATGCGTTAAAGCGATGTATAGAGAAGATCCTCTCCAAATTTGAAGTAAATTGGTTCATTAGAACTCGAGATATCCTTACCGCCAGCTCGAAAAAAGTAGTTCCGAGAAAAACGCGTTCAAAGCTTTGAGACTCGGTCGGACCCGAACCGAGGCCACGTCACTAAAACGGCTATAACTCAGGAAATAATAGTAATTTTGAAAAATCCTTTTAATGACATATTTTTGAATAACTCAACTTTGAAAATATGAAAAAAAAATTCGATTTTTTCAAAATTCTACAGTAGAATACCCCCTTAAGACATAACGAAAAATGTAAAGGATCTCCTCTTCTATACAGAGATCACTTATTGAAATGTACATTTTACCCAGGTATTACAGTAAATATTTATTACTCACACAGAAGATCTATCCTCTTCGTCAAGCTTTGCTGAAAACTTGGTTAATATTTCTAAAAACGGTAAGCGATCTGGAGGCACATTCGGGCTACCACTTTGTCCAACCGCAAACAAAATTCCAGCCTCGTGCAGCTTTGCTACTGCTTGTCGATTTTTCAGTTTGTTTGTGCCCAAGAACTTTGCTAGATGTGCGGCCAAAGTCTGAGTGAAATAAAAAAAAGTGAAGTAAAACTTATTTGCTATTGTACAAGATGGCATTTAAGCAAAAATAAATACATCGTATAACAATTTTGAATAATGTTTATCAGTAATATGGTAACACTAGTGATGCACACATTTATTAGTCTCGGCCATTATACATCTATATATCTATAATGGCATTAAAAATATGTATAATATTTGAAAACAATAATGTAATTCAAGTCATACTTCAAATATGACATGATCGGTTTGTCGGTTCTTCATTAGAGAAATGAAGTAATTGCTGATTAATAAATTCTATGATATTCTCGTTCACACAGTGGATTCTGTTAAACAACGCCTAAACAAATATTGTTTTTGCAACTTCACTCACTCATCATTTAATAATTGTGTTTGAAGAACTTCATGTAATTAAAATTAACATACAATCATTTACGGCTTGTATTTTTTTACTTTTTTGCTGGCGATGTACTATTATTCTTTGAACAGTTGTAATATCTGCCTTGCCTAAAAATATTTTCCATTTTAATAACTACAAAGATTTATAGAAACTACGAATAATATAGAAATAATTTCTTATCAAGAAACAAATGTATAATTTGTTTTAATATTTTCAAAAAACAAGGTAAAATATTCTTCCGATACTGGCATTTTTCATTAAATCAAGATTTGTACTACGATGTAACTTTAAAATGTTTATTTATCTATGTCGATTTCCTTGTTGATATCGGTACATATACAACGACGGTTTTATACCCTAGTCGCGCCTAAAGAAGTTTTACTTCAAAAAGAATAAAATAAAATCAATACGTCGGTTCCAACCTGTGAGGTTTTGCGAAAGGTGGTAAAAATTGGCAAAGTACTATTTACGAATACAAAAACCAACAAGTGGGGCGCATGGCATCGTGCATTAAGGCAAATTGCTGGAACTTCCCGTACTAAAAATTATTTTTATTTAAAAAACGATTAACATTTTTGAAAAAAACATTACTTCGAAAAAATTAGATTTTTGAGAAACTATAAATTTGACAGAGAATTACTTTTTTTAAACAAATTGTTTTTTGAAAAAAAAATGTATTCTTTATTTTGACATATTTTGGAAATTTTGAACTTTTTTCAAAGCAATCGTACTGCTTTAACTGCATAGAGGCGAAATATCGAAGCGCGTAAGCGTCTAACGGATAAACATTGATACGGAACCCATAGGAATGCAAACAAAATTTAAACTTATTGTTAAAATCTATATAAAATATCTGATAATTTGATGTGCATATGTCTCATGATCATTTTTGACCGCCAAATAGCATTTTTTTTACTTTTTTCATTAGATCTCCGAAACCGCTAGACCTGCCTTCATGAAAATTCTTGCAGTTCTTCATCTTATCAATACAAGTAAGACGTTTTTGAATTATTAACATTGGACGCTCCGTTCTCTTAAAAACTGATTTACCAATTTTGGAACTTTTTGCCCCATATCTTCGGAACGGCTAGACCTGCCTTCGCCAAAAACTAATCCGTACGTCTCCTTATCAATACGAATCGAATGTTTTTTCAATTATTCAAATCGCTTCATCCGTGTTCCCGAAATCGTCGACGAAAATTTGTATCCGCACACACACATACATACACACACATACATTAATTTTTTCTAAGGTATGCCAAAATGTTCAGAAGGTTTTGCAACGTAAAGAATATAAAAATGTTCATTTTAGATTTTTTTGCGATTACTATAACTTGCCCTGCGGGAAGTTAAAAAAAAAAAAAGTGAATTGGAGTAAACAATAAATTATACTTCTAATTGGACCTCCAGAAGTTAAACGTTTGGAGTTACCATAGATAAATATTAAAAAAAAATGTTTCCAGAGATTAGTAAATATGAATATAAATCAAGTTCTTCAATTCTGAAAAATCGAAAATAATAATTTTTTTGCATTTTTAGAGGTTTTGAAGGTTTCTGAACATTTTGGCATTTCTCAGAAAATTTTGATGTGTGTGTAGGTGTGTGTGTGTTTTGTATGTCCGCATTATTTCGTCCACGTTTTCGGGCGCACGGATCAACCGATTTGAATGGTTTAAAAACATTCGATCCCTATTAATAGGGAGATGTGCTGATTAGTTTTTGGCAAAGGCAGGTCCAGCCGTTACGGAGATACGGAGCAAAGAGTGCAGAAAATAGAAATCGAGTTTTTGAGAGAACGGAGTATCCGATTTGAATGATCTAAAAAACATTCAATTTGTAATGATTGGGAAAAGAGGTGATTCGTTTTTGGCAAAGACAGGTCCCGCCATTTCGGAGATACAAAGCTAAACGTGCAAAAAATAGCATTTTTTGAGTGAACTAAGAAGCGTCCGATTTGAATGATATAAAAAACTTTCTGCTTGTATTGACAAAACAATTGCTTTTGGAGATAAACAAATATTACATCTTTTTTTATTTTTCATAAAATATTTTTGTAATTTTGGATTATAAATTGAAAAAATGACCCAGTCTAAGCACAGTCTAAGCGCCACTCTGGTACAAATGTTTACACAAGTGCGTTTAGACTGTTTATGTATTGGAGCACATTTCCAATGTTGTGAAAACGAAACCTATTGAAAAATGTGAAAATGCCGCCAAACTAAGCACAGTATAAGTGAAAATGTCGCACAGAATTATTTGCAAATGCACAGAAGACTGACTATACGGGAGCACTTTTTCAATTTTGTGCCAATTAATTAGGGAACTATTTTTTTGAAATTGAATTCAAAATAAAATGACGATTGTTAATGTTAAGATTTGCTCATATATAACAAGATAGCAAAAATAATGAAAGTTACAGTATTTGTAATAATTAAATATTTGAAAACGTTTAAAATTTCTCGAATATTTCATTACGGTACGGAAAGTTCGAGCAATTTGCCTAAAGGCACGATGCCATGCACCACTAGTTCGTTTCATAAATTACACACATTACACAGAATAAATACCTTTAGCTGCACAAATCCTTCGATAGTTTTATTAACCACATCGCCAGCACATGAACTTTCCACCTGCAAATAATTTTCCTTCAAAGTCAGGAACATGACCGTGGTGCAATTTGTCCTGCTGAGGCTGCACATCGTGGCGACCATTTTCTTTATGATATCTCCATAGCATTTTTCACACTGCAAAATACAATAGTGTTGAATTAAATTGATCTATTTTCTTACTCACAACACTTATACACAATATACTAATAAGTATGGTAAGGAAAATGCATAAAGCGGTGATGTGAATAATAAACAAAATCACGCCATGGACCTGCCTTCAGGCAGACTACTATTTAATAGTATTACATTGTTTTAACTAATTATCCTAGGTCCTCGTAATACATCCACTGTTTTGTTCATAAAGCTACTAAATCCATGGTCAAGTCAAATGCAGGTGTTTTTGAGGGCAAATTATGGATTCTAAGGTAATCCTTCAGGTTTGGGAATAGCAAAGCTATAGAATACTTTGCATGGCAAGATCTTTATTCTCTTGGATCTTAATAGTTTTCTTTTGAATTTTTAAGCCTTTCTTTCAGAAAGATTTTGGAGACTTCGATGGGTAATTATTAGGATGTTAGCTAGTCAGTAAATTACAAAGTGGAATAGAAAGAAGTTTCAATATGCAATGAATAACTGTTATAACCTTACCTTCACATAATACTTCAAAACAAAGGACGCGCTAGTAACTGGCACGATACCAAATTCAATAAGTTTGCAAAAACGCTCCAAGACTTCACGACGTTTCTTTATTTGGACTTGATCTTCTTCGTGTGTTCCTGCAATAAGATAATAACATAATTAATTACAAAATCTTCTAATAAAATTTTTCTTTGGGCTCTCATCTTCTTCGTGCCTTTCTACAATGAGATAATTAATAACGATAACATAATTACAAAAGTCTTCTAGTAAAGTCATATTAACTTTTCTTTTACACAAACTGTGTTATGCATATAAACAAAAATCTAAACATAAATGTGATTGTTGAGTTGTACGTGTATTAGATGCATCTTCGAGTGAAAAATTCCATTTGGCATTTCAATTTATAATTGAAGCTTAAAAGTGTATCAACATGCATCACAGCAGATATCAAACAACCAACTATTAAAATATGTTCAAAAACTTTCCCAGTAAAGAAATATATTACAAATCTTCAGACAATTTACAAAATTTTCATATAATCTATACCATCTTCAGACAATTTTCGCTCTGTGTCTCTTTCTATTCAACATTTCTTGTTGGCACTTGCATTAGAAGCTCCACTTCAATAAGAAATATTTAAATTAATTTTATTCTAATTATTACCTGTCCAATGTTTTAAGAAAACATATTCTTCTGCATACTTATTGATTAACATAACGTCATCCGAGCTTAGTTTTAAAACCAAGTCGTGTAGAATCGGGTTCTTATGGTCGGCCAGTTCTACATTGAAATTTGCGGCTAATGTACATATTGCAAACAAGGCCTAAAACGTTAGAAATTAATTTATTAAAAGTACAAAAAATATTTCAGCAACTTCGATAAAACCAAAATAGGTTGTAATTGTTCAAAAATCGCGAGTGCTTGCCATGTCGTCCAAACCTAACATGACGCTTTCCCATACATTTTTGATTAGGCTTGGATTGGACATAGTAAGCGTTACTTCAATCAATATTTTTACTAGAAATGGTTAAAATTATGAACAAAATAAAAATCATTGCCCAATCTACTATTTATGAATATTGATAATAAATTTAATAAGGATACTATTTTTGGCGGACAACCCCGGAGCACCGATTATTCGATTTGAATTACTCAAAAAGCATTCGATTCCCATTGATGAACAGACTGATAGAGGTAAATTGGTTTTCAAGTAGACTTGAAGGTGAGCAGGTGGATACATAGACAGGCAATCAGATAGACAAGTAGACGTGTGAACTGAAGAGTTGTGAACAGGTTAACAGGTTGACAGGTTGACAGGTTAACAGGTTGGACAGTAAACAGGCAGCAAGGTAAAACTGTTGACAAGTAGAAGGTTGAAGAAGTTGGAGACAGGTGGAAAGGTAGGCAAGTAGTTCATATATAGTTTAAAACAATATTGAAATTCGCCTTACAATTAGTATTACTTTAAAATTTTGAATTTTTCAAATCGACTTACAGCTTGTTGGAGATCGTTATGAGTGAGATTTTGTACAATGTCTTTGCAAATTTCAATGTAATTTTTTAATTTTAACTTTAACATATCGGCTTGTTCCATACAAGCGATAGCATTAACGACCATATTATTTAAATCCATTTTTTTCACTTCGATCAATGCCCAAGATAAATAAGCGCCGTAAGAAAGCAGGCAGTATATCGATCCCTAAAAGATATTTTGATAGGAGTATAAATTAGTTAAATTAGTTATGTTTAATCTTTGATCTAATTAACATACTTCGATAGGGAGATTCCTTTCAATAACGCCATTCCTGAAGACTTTAAATTCCTCTAAAAAATCTTCCCATATATTTAAATAATTTATATTATATAAATATTGGAAAATGTAGATTTTTTTTAGGGAATTTATAATCTCAGGAAAATCTTTCTTGGCACATTTTGGATCCATTTGCTAGAAAGAAAAATTATTTCTGATCAAGAGATCAATTGTTTGACAACTTTCTACACATAACAAAAATGTAATTCGTACCCCATCCACAATAAATAGCCATGTAATATATGGCTCCATATATACGAATGCGCATTTGTCTACGATGGTCTTAATGGCGGCATCGCAATCTGCAGCAATACTTCTTGCCCTTTAGAAAGGCAATGCAAAGTATTGCTGCAGTTGTCCAGCACTGTCGTCTGCAGAATCCTGGGCGATGGCTTGCAGAGCGCCCAATAAATTCCTTAAATGCTGTAAACATAAAACACTAGATTAAAACTAGTAAGTATATATTAAAAAGTTAGAAAAACTACAACAAATGCAAGATGCATCAACATTCCCATATGCAATTAAAATTTCTGCTTAAAATATATACTCCTGCTGGTGGCAATTCAAGCACAAAGACAAGTAATCCTTATAGGTATTCATAGGTACAAAAATTAAAATACTAACCAGATCTTCCATGTCAATTGTATTATCAAAGTCAAAATATTGAGGAATTTTTATCAAATGGATAATACAATTGACATTGCTTTTAAAGCGAGCCAACAGAGTCGCCATCACCGGCATTAGATATTTGGTCATATTTAATTTGTCTTTTTTCGTTTGTTTTTGTTTTATACTTGGGACCTGTAAATATGAAAAGTAATGAAATTTAGAAATAAAAAATAATGTTTAAACATATAATCAACACACTAGAAGAAGAAACAACTGGATAGTTTTACCCATTTGCATGTACTGACATTAAAACCAGGGCAGGGTACTTTTACTTGATCGGTTTAGATTTAGTTAATGTTGTACTTCTAATTGGACTTATAAATTATTGCCTTAAACGTTTGACGACTATCATGCTATAATATCACATCAAGGAAACAGATGTGTAGTACTAAAAGCAACAAACTGATTCCCACAAAACTATTCCATTGGTCATGAGTTCATACACCGTCCAAAAATCCAAAAAAAAAACGAATTGTCTGGGGACCAAGAGCGTTTTGTTTATTTAATTGACCAGGAGAGCAGCTGCATATCAATTAAGTAGAGTCCAGTACTTGTAATTATCGACCATATTCGGATTCGCTGCGAATATTGCTACTTGAGATCATTTCTGGAAAATGCTTATCTGTCCGCCCTCTTAAAGTCAGTACATTAAAATAGGTCAAGTTACCTCAGTTTTATATATGCATTATTGCAATGCAATATTACCATGTTATCAGTTCCTCTCTCACCAGTACTTGAAAGATTTGCAGCACACCAGAACATAATTTCTATTAAAATTTCCTGGGGTTGGGGGATTGGGGTCAAAGGTTCATCATGTTCTCGAATTAAAATGTGGATCATTAAATCCCAATCTTTCATTATCTCAGTGTTTGCAACTAGGGCAAACACTAGATATGAAATAAAATTTAATCCCTGAAAAATAATAAAAATAAAGAATAAAGATTCAAAAAAATTATTTATACGACATCCACATGACTATCATATATACATATTTTACTTACTTTCAATTCAATGATCGAAGTTAAAACATGCCTGAACCATCGAACCCCAAATCCGGCCCCATTTGAATCTTGATCCAATATTAAAAAGACATTATAAAAAAATGTTCCTGCTGCCACCGCAATCTTTCGGTTCGGAGAGAACATTAAACTTGAAACAGTGTTCTAGTCCTTCGTAGTGAATAGGTACGGATAGGACCTGAATGGACAAAAATGGATAATTAATTAGCTATATCAGTTTTAACAGGTAATTACAGGACATTCGTAGAAGTCGGGTTAAGAAGTTGAAGTACACCTTTCGTAATGGGGAAATGCTAAAATATAATAAGCGGCAGTCATTGCAATACCCCAGAAAGGGGCTTCATCCCATAGCGTCAACCATTATATATACACATTTATATAATAAAAAATTATAAAAAATTATATATTTATAATAGCATTATAATTTCATAATAGCATTAACTAGCTGTAAGTGGAATTCTGTCTTGAGGCAATTATGGCATCGTGCCTTAAGGCAAATTGCTGGAACTTCCCGTTGAATACTGAATGTTTTCAAGAAGATTATTATAAATATTGTATCATTGTCTAATATAAAATAATAAAATAAAATCTGAAATATTTTATACAAAAAACTAAAAAAAAAAAAAAAAATGGAACAAAATTTTTTTTTCCAATATCAATTATTTTATTAAGACAAGCAGAAAGTTCTTTGAATCATTTAAATCGGACGCTTAGTTCTCTCAAAAACTGCCATTTTTTACATATTTAGCTTCGTATCTTCGAAATGGCTGGGCCTGTTTTTGCCAAAAACTAATAAACACTTCTCCCAATCATTACTAATTGAATGTTTTTTAGATCATTCAAATCGGATACTCCGTTCTCTCAAAAATTCGATTTCTATTTTCTGCACTCTTTGGTCCGTATCTCCGAAACGGCTGGACCTGCCTTTGCCAAAAACTAATCAGCTCTTTTCCTTATCAATAGAAATCGAATGTTTTTTGAACCATTTAAATCGGTTGATCCGTGCGCCCTAAAACGTGACTGGAAATTTGTATCCACACATACATACACACACACACACACACACACATCAATTTTTTCTGAGGTATGCCAAAACGTTCAGAAACCTTCAAAACGTCGAGAAATGTAAAAATTTTCAATTCCGATTTTCGGCCCATTACAATAACTTACCCTACGGGAAGTTAAAAATATTTAAAATATTTAAAAACAATCATGTAATTAAAGTCATACTTAAAATATGACATAGAGAAATGAAGATTAATAAATTGCTGATTAATAACTTCTATAATATTTGTTGAGACAGTGGATTATGTCAAACAACGCCTAAACAAATATTGTTTTCGCAACTTCACTCTTCAATTAGAATTAACATACAATTCATTTATTGCTTGTATTTTTTTTACTTTATCGCTGGCAATATACTATTATTTTTTGAACAGCTGTAATATAAGATTGCTACTACCGTTGGGTGTTTACTGGGTTATCACCATCAAAAGTTTCATACATTTGTCTATTAAGTGAACATTTTTATTCTCAACTCTCACCTGAACACTGCTGTGACGAGCTTTATTGCAATCTCCTGATTGCATCCGCTCTTATCCCAAGATAATCTAAGAATTCTTTGTTGGTATTTGTGACTGAACAATTTTAATTTGTTGGCTAATTTTACGTCCTCATACAACGGGAGCAAGGCTTTTAAAACGCTTGCCCGTACTGATGCAGCCTGTGAAGATATAGAAAAAATCATTATTAGTAACTGCCTGAGGAGATTTTTCTGTTCTCTTGACATTTCAAGATCGGCCTTTTCAAGAATCTTGAAGAAGGAAGGAAACTGGATTGGACCCGTTTTGTTCTAAAGAGTGCCTCCTGCACGACGTCGTGGATGGTAAAATAGAAGGGCTGAAGGGATTGGTAAAGAGAAAATACAGGGTACTGAAAACCGAAGTGCAGGATCAGGAAGCATGGATGAAAGACTACCATTTATATTTATATATATATATATATATATATATACCTTGTCATAGAGGAAAAATGCAAAAAGCCGCAAAGTCGATTCGTGTAAGAATAGTCCTGGGTGCTTTCTTAACAAGCGGCCCAATTCTCGTATGCTGACACGTCTTGTGACAGGTGCGATATCTCTGTAAATAAACTGATGTTTAAAAAATATTCTTTAACTTATGCGGTTCAAGGAATTATGGTAGGTATAACAGCTATTCCTGGTGACATTTTGTTTTATATGGCAAAATGATTGATCTAGTGGTAATATCAAAAACCAAACCGAGCTGCAAAACATGATGGACAGAATCGTCGAAATGGGTAGAAGATATGGAACGGAAATCTTCATCAACAAATTGGAAGTGATGAGCAGTGCTGGATTTACAGTAGGGGCAATCGGGGCTACTGCCCAGGGCGGCAAGTTTTGGGGGGCGGCAAAATTTGGATAGTGAGAAAAAAATTCTATACAATATGATCAACCTTTTTAACAACATTTTTTATTTCAAGAAATATAATTAACAAAACATAATATGATTGCAATGCAAAATTTGGGTTGAAATAAACGATAAGTAAAATTTATTATTTTGCCTTGCCTCCCTCTCCGAACGCAAATTATCAAATTGGTTAATAAGTCATCAAATTTGGCAATTTGGCTAATATAAAGATCCGTAAACAAGCTGATAGTTTAAGAAAAATATGTTCTTCAGTTCTCGAGCCCTCTTAAAATGGCGTATTTGTGCACTTCCAAGCTCATAGCGTCGAAAAAAATTTAAACTAGTGACTCATGGCATTGTGCCTTGAGACAAATTATTGAAACATCACTTACTAAAAATTACATTTTATAAAGAGCTTCAACATTTATTGAAAAATGAAAAAAAATACTTCTAAAACACATTTTTTGTATTTTGAAATTTTTCGAAAATTATGAACTTTTTGCAAAGAAGAGAAGAAATATCGAAACTCAATTTCCATTTTACGTAATTGCCTGTACCAAAAGCTAATCAGCACGTTTCCCCATCAATAGAAATATAATATTGTTTAATTATTTAAGTCGATTTCGAGAGCACGGATCAACCGATTTATGATTCAATTCATATCGATAAACAGACCTCAAGGCAGGTCCAACTGTTGTGAAGATACGGGCCAAAATGCCAAAACTGATAATTCAGTTTTGAGAAAAAAGCATCCAATAACATTCAAACAAGAATAAATTACAGAATAAATAACTGCTTAAATTTGTGGAGGGCAGGTTTAGCGGTTTTGTGATCCAATAAAAAAAATTGAAAAAGAAACATTTGGCGGACAAAAGTGATCATAAGTATAAATTTTGTTTACATTTATATAAGTTCTGTAACATTGTTTATCCGTTAGACTGCAACGCGGCGCTTACGCGCTTCTATATTTTCTCCCTCGTAGCTGAAGCAGCGCGATTGCTTTAAAAAAAGTTCCAAAGTTCGTAAAATTTTAGGGATGGAGCGGCATTTTTGTCATTGCCCCGGGGCGCCAAATTTCTAAATCCGGCCCTGGTGATGAGAGTATCAAAACGAGATGATACTCTGAAGATAACAGTAGAAAATCAAAAATTGGAGCACGAGAAAGATCAGGACAAAGATCGCAAGCGCCAAGGTGGAGTTTGCGAAGTTGAGAACACTAGTGAGAACCAACCAAGTCTCGACTTGTGGATGATATTGATAAAAAAAAATGTTTTGTCCAGAGCATAGCTCTTTACTATTATATTTACTACTATTACTATTTGGAGAGTTTTAAAATGTGGTGCGCAGGAGACAGGTGATTGGAGAATGTGACAAGAAAAGAATAAGTCCATAAAAGACTCGACTGAGAACGATCATGAAAAGAAAAGGAAAAAACTGAATAGGACCCATTCAATTCAATCGAAAAAAGAGTGCCTCCTACACGACGTGCTCCAAGAATACATAATCCTGAACATATGCTTATTTAAGACATGATATGTTAAAGCAGGAGTCTACAAACAAAACTTAGCTGTGTTATCCAAGAAGAATTGGCCCATAAATGTCAAAATATCTTACTTGATGCGTTTATAAATTAAATGCCTGTATAGGGAGTTGATGCACAATTCAAGTTCCCTATACTTTTTATTTAATTTATTTTTTTCAGATTGAAGGAATGCCAAGCGGCTCAGATCACGCCTCGTCGTCTCCTTCGCTTCTTCGACCGAATCAGCTCCGACCACCGATTCAGGTCTGAAGCCGCTTGTTCCAGTAATCCTGCCAACTCTGTATTATCGACCAGCCTGAATAGATATATAAAAAATCAGTTAATCAAATGGTAATTTTAAAATATTTTTTCAACTCTTTTGCCAATGTATTCATTTTTAATGTCTAGTGATGTTTAACCCTCCGTCGGTCGGCGTGGTCCGGCCAGACTTTTTTCGACTTCAATTAAAAAAAAAAAAAATACTTCTAGTAATCCTATCGACTCGAAATTTCTTGACTTTTCCTAAAATTTCATTAGCTGTCGATCAATAAAAAAATCAGGACGAAAAATTGTACAGAAGGATAATTATAAGGATATTCACTTTTTTATACTTCGAACGGTCGGAAAGGTCTGTCTAGACCACCCATACATTTTGTATGAAATATACGCTTTTTGATTTATGTAAACCAGTATTTTATCTTCTTTTCATGGTATTTTCTATTCAAACAGCGTTGTATATATTCTTTGCTATGTGTTGTAGCATGAATGTTACTATTTTCATGACGAGACAAAAGTATCAATTTTTCTACCCGTACTGCGTTCGAATTTTTTTTTTTGCCAAACCTGTAGTGAAATTATATTTTCACTTCGAGTTTTACAGCTCATTTCAAAGACGACGCACCTCATTTCGTTTTCTTTTGAATTTCACATTCATTTCAAAGGCGCAGAAAAAGAATAAATATTGTTTTTCATTGATATAAAACAGAAAAATTAACAAAAAAAGCAACGATTTTTTTATATTTCTTGATTTTTTTATATAATATAATATGTATGTAATATTTTTATTATAAGCAAGCTCAACACATGCAAAAGACTTACCGTAAAAAGAAAAAATCTAAACTATAAATATTTACTACTAATAATCGTTAATATATAAGACACCAAAAACTCATTTATCCCATATAAATGCATGTAAAATGAATGGTGGTCCAGCCAGACCTTTCCGACCGTTCGAAGGTGAAAAAATATCCGACCGACGGAGGGTTAAATGTAACTTAAAAATTTTTAATATGTACAAAAATGTCTAGATATATATACATAAATGTATATGTCGCCTACTGGCAAGGGTTAAAAATGTACAAAAATTTAAGAAAAATATCTACAAATGGCTACATATTTTTGAAATTGTCTAGAAATGTGTAAAATATATAGATGGCTAAAAATATCTAAAAACCCATAGGAGAGTCTACGTATAAAAATCATTCTCACGAATACAATTTACCTGCCAATGTTGCCGTATATCTTATATTTTTCTGACCCAATCTAGACAAATGTTTTAAGATTGAGGTCAGATTTTTCATAAAAAAAACATCATAAATTATGTCTCCACCCATCTTTATAATACTTTGGAAGAACTGGCAAAAATCAACAGTAAGTTTTTTATTTTTGGAGAGTAGAGAAGGAAATCCTTCATCTTCCTACAAAAAAAAAAAAAATAAAAATAATAGAAGTGATACTCTGCAAAAGAAGTGAAACTTCGTAATGTGAAAATGAGATTGCAATGCCTTTGGGCAGTCTGCAAGACCTTCAAAGAGTATGCAACACTTTCAGATAGTCTACAATGTTCTAATAAATATTCTAAAAATTATGAAATAATCCATAACATTCGAAAAACATTTTACATTCTAAAAAAATCTGAAACAATCATCAACTTTCCTAATATATGGCATTCTAAAACAATCATTATTAAAACATTAGCTCACTTTGCATTGAACCCATTGAACGCATTGAAAGCAACCTTGTTCAAAGTCGCCTAAGAAGTTTCACTTCGATAGTACATTGTGATATATTGCATTATCTATTATACCTCTACAAAACCTCCTTCTATGTAATTTGCCAGTGCAAAATGCTCAAAAGTTTGCATCATTTGGGCGGTCACTTGTACGCCGTTGTAGCCGCTGGCGTTTACTAAAAGTAATACCAGGGCCGCCAACGCCTTGTACCTGTCTCGGACGTACAGGCAAATCCAATTGCCGACGATCATCTGAAAACAGTTTTAAATCAAATAGATAAAACTCGATAACAAGTCAATGCAAGCGACAAGTCAATCTGAATCGTTTGAGAACAAAAGTTTGGGAATGAGTATGTGAAGCTGAACCGATTTCAACTAGTTGGTTTGGTTTGGTATTTAGCCTTGAGGCAAGCTACATGAACTTCCCGATATGTTTAAATAATCGACTTAATCAATAAAAAATAAATTAATTTATGAGTGATTAAAAGTGTTAAATTCCGAGTGGATTTATTACAAATAATTGAACACGAACGAACACTTTGACTCGGAGTATTTTCTAAAAACAAATTTTCAAAAATCAACGATTATTATAATTGAACCAGTTTCCATAGGACTTTAATGGCTCAGTATGTTCATTAAAACCAAGAACTCTATCGTTATACCAAGTAAATAGTCTAATTTTAATTTTAACAAACGTCAAAAAAACTACTCATTTCTTAAAATTTGATTGAATTTTTAAATAAACTACTTGTCATAAGGCCGTGATATTTCAGTAAGTTCTATAAGACCATGATATATATCGTCAAAAAAAGTTTCATAAATATCGGCTTAAATTTTGTTTCAACAGTTAATTACAAGAAAACGGCTCGGTAGAATTTCACCTAAAACTAATCAGTATTATTCCCAACTAATATCTTTCGAACAGTGTTCGATATTTTAAATCTATTCGGTAGAATGAGCTTAAATGTGGACGAAAAGTTTAACACTTTTTTTCAAATTACAAAGAAACGGCCGGTCGCGCAAAACTGCGAAACGATAATCCTCAGCGAGATACATCAAATGGTTTTTAAATTTTTGAAATCGGTTCAGGCGTTTTTGAGCAAACGTCGATGAAAGTTCTAATTTTGACAAATGCCATAAAACTACTAATTTTGCAAACTTTGACGAATTTTTAAAGCTAAACCAGTTGTCGTAGGGCCGTAATATTTTTAGTATGATCTAGAAGACTATGGTATCTACCGTCAAAAAAATAATCATAAAAATCGTCGAATTTTTTTTAAAAAAACTTTATTACAAGAAAACGGCCCGGCCGATCTCTACCAAAAACTAATCACGATTTCAATTAATATCTTTCGAACGGTTTTTGAATTTTCAAAATCAATTCAGAATTGCGGGCTAAAACGTGGACGAAAAATTTTTCACTTTCTGCGATTTATAAAGAAATGGCTTGGCCGATCGTCGCACAAAACTGACAAATAAGTCTTCATCGAGATACATCGAATCGCTTTTAAATTTTGAAATCGGCCCAGCCGTTTTCGAGAATACGTCGATTTACGGCAAAAAATCTGTTCACATACACACACACACATCATACTTTTTCAAATTTGGTCTCATTCGATTCAGAATGGCTTGAAACGTCGAGAAAACATAAAATTAGGGAATCGGATTTTTTGATGAAAACATAAACTTTCTTCGGGAAGTTAATAAAATAGATAAAACTCGATGAGTGCTTGCAACAAGTCAATCTGAATCGTTTGAGAACAAGTTTTGGAATAAGTATGCAAGCTGAACCGATTTCAAAAATTTCAAAGCTTTTGATGTAGCTTAGATATATATATATATATA